ACAAATACAACTTCCATTTTGAGCAGCCACAAAGCCTGGAAAAAGTCCCGGCTTTTCCACCTTTGACTCAGGTACTTCATTTTACCAAAAAGCTATTAACTCGCCCAGAGAGATTTATCTGACTTGTGCCACTTAAGTGTTTTCTTATATTTAGATGGATAAGCCATTACAGGGAAGATCCGGACCACTGAAAAAAAAATCTCTGCATCATTGAAGAGAGATCCATTTATAGTAGAAAAGACCAAGGAAAACAACGTTAAGCACTGTTGCCGTTTGCTGCTATCTTGTTATCCAACAAGAAGATATTGGAGGCAATAACATAAATACCCTCCGAGGGTTTTTTAAATTACTGCTGGTGTTCTCCCTCTTACTTGGGACAGCTCTCAGCCAGCTACCTCTGCAGGAAGAAATCACAAAAAACGGGTCAGCTAATACAGAAACCTAGGGATGAGCGTCAGCACCTACATTATGGATTTCATGGGCCACATCCAAGGCATCCCAGTGGTCCCAGCGGAGCACCTGCTGAATGGTGGGAGAAGAGAAACCAGCCCCAAAGAGCCCTGTGGCACAGGGTCCTCAACACCGACAGGACTCTCCTATGGTCAAATAGTACAAATTTCCATACTGAGATATTTTTACCTTACTGGTTTTACATAAAAACCATTTTCTAAAGAAAGCCATTGCAGATTATCTTGGGAAAAGTTGCCTATGCTGCCAAGTTATTTTGTTTGCTGTCTGTCTCGTGTTCTTTAAAAGCCCTCCTAAAAGGCCTCCATTTCTTTCTCTTTGCCACATTGGAAATTCCTCACTTCAAATTCACTGGCATTCAGAAAATAGCCACACTAGAAAGCTTAGCACAGCAAATTAGTCTGAAGTAGGTGCCTCACTGGGCCAGGATCAGTATGGAGACTTAATCTGTAAACTGGTTTCCACAGACATAAATTAAATTTAAAAGGCCTGGAAGACATGTTCACAAATGATTCACATAATTTAAATCACTCCTTTGCAGTGCTGAGATTTAGGAATATTTGTGTAGTTTTGTTTTGGGGTGGGTTTTTTTTTTTTTAATTTATTGCTTCCTGCATAGTCACTTGGAAAAAAAACCCACAAAACAACCCAGCTGTATATCATTGTTCTGCAGACTTAAGAGAAAGGAAAAGAAACTGCTTGGTTCACAATCAGCATTCACCACAGGTAACAGGCACTGATTTACTTGCCTCAGACTTCCAGTTCTGAATTATTCACAAAAAGCCACTTGCCATTTCAATGGTAAGACAACAGTGCTCCTAAAATCTTAATTAAGGTCACCAATCAAAATGGAAAAATTCAGCAGGAACACAAATAGCTTTGCAGAAAATGTTATGGTAAGTGAAAAACATTTATTAACTCAGAGACATTGCAATCTTGACCTGACATAAGGCTGAAACAGTTGCGGTTTGATAGCTTTTGTTAATACAACAGGTGCCACAATCGAACCAGTTTTTCCATTTTGAAGGACTCCAAGAGCTTCCTCGGAGGCCCATTGGCACTAAAAGTGTTTGTTCTTAACCAACGAGAGACACTTTTTGATGTGCCTGCAGTGTATCTGCAAATCAAACGCTGGCTTCAAGTCAGCGACAGTCTGGTCCAGCCAGGAATAGGTAACTGGAAGTAAGAGTACCTCGGTCCTCCCCAGGACAGCTCTACAGGGAACCAAGAAATTTTAACCCAAATATTAGATGTCCATTACCTGGATCTAGGTCATAACCAAACCCAGAAGTCTCTGCTTTTGACATAACTTTGGCTATCTACGATTGTCTTCTGTACGTTCCTCCACAACGCACGAAATCCTGCTGTTGCTGACATCCAAGGAAAGACCTACCCCTGCTTTCACCAGGCTAGGATTTTATCCCTTTTGTATAGCCAGGAGATCAAGTGAGTTCCACATGTGGTTTGTGGATTCCTCTGAGAGCGGAAAAAGAAATCCAAGTGACACTCAAACAAAGGATGGAAAAGAAATTAAAGGGGAAATATGATGATATAATTTTAGTTTAAATCCATCCTAAGACAGCTAGAGAAAGCCATGGGAGCATTATATATATATATATACACACACACACACACATATATATTCCTACCCCATTATAAACCCAAAGCTTACAAAAAATAGAATTAACTACCACATTAAGTTTTGCAAATCTGGAAGAACCCTGAAATGAATGTTTCTTCTTGTCCTGTTCCTTCAACCAACCAGAGATATGTAGGCAAAAAAATCTACCACCCAGTAGTTCTCAGCTATTTTCCATTGGCCCATTGCCATTCCTCTCCTTGGAATTCCCCATTAAAGCACCAAACCCCTTCATCAATACAGAAAATGATCTACCCTTTTTGAAGCTGACACCTGCAAAGTCATATGCTCTTGTGTGTCTGCAACCTCAAAAAAAAAAAATAAAAAGGACAAAAACCCCCCAAGCTTTGCTCTCAAACCCAGTAATACTTAATGCAGGGTTCAGTACATTATACCGCTACATCTACCACTTTTTGGTAAGGCAAAACTAATTCTTACACTTGCTACCCATTATCAACTGGAATGTCTTCTCCCATAGCAATTGCCCCAAATAAAAAATGAACCTTCCAGGAGACTGAAGATACCCTTGTATAACCAAGGCCATACACAGATCTTTGCACAAATACCCAAACCCCCTTTCTGCCTAAGGCTCAGGAACATTCAGGCACCAGAAAACAGATTAGATGTTCAAATAATTTATTTTAAGTAACATCATTTTTTAATATATTGCCTGAATAAATACTTCCATTTATATCACACCATCAAAGAATATCAAATATGAAAAATGTGGCTTTCTGGCCAAGCCATGTTATCACTTTAAGATTAATAGTTTTCTTTAATATGATAAATGTTTCAGAACATAGAACTTGCATAATAATGAGCTCTTTAAAGACTGGGGCTTTTTTAATCTACTGAGTGTCAAACAGGGACATTTACAATGAAGTACAAAGTTCTACCAAGAGTTCTTTAGGAAGGAGAGCTTAAATTGGCTTCTGAGGTCTGGTCAGCCACATATATATGTTTCTCTATGCAAGAGTTCTTCATCTTGCTAAAACTTGTGATAGTAAGGTTGTGGTCATCCACAAATGAATAACTCAGTGTCGAGCTAATTTATTGAAGTAACTCGAGTTAAAACGCAAACACACATAGAGGCTGAAGTTATGCCTTGTTATTTCAGCTACCAATGCTGACATCCAACACCTTTTTTTTTTCCTTTTCCTTTTTTAATTGCCAAGAGTATTTTGGAAAGCCTATTAAGTAGACAGTTAAGAAGTTAAGGAGGAGATGACAGATGTTATATTAAATCAGCTCCTCTATACCACCCAATGTTTCACATCTTTGTCCCTGTACCATGCCAAGGAACAGTGTAGGCCTCCTATTAAAGTAGTTATCAGGCACTTCATTACACCCTTTTTTTGATATGGAGTTTCCATTAAGCAAATACTTCTCACTTAGATGTTTCTTTATTTGTCTTGTATTTTCCTAGCTGTGGATTAGCAACTTCTAAAGGGACTGCAGTAAAAAAAAACATCTAAAAATGTGGCTTAGCATGATGTCCTTGATTAGGCTTTGTAAAAAGAGGAAATTAGGGATGAGAGTCACAGCTTGCTACTCTATATTCAATTAGGACTGACTTCTTTGTGGCTGTGGTTCATGCAGGATGTGCAGTTATCTAATACAGCCCGATTCTGGCAGCAGAACAATTAGAATGCAAAGCATAACGTAAAACAGGCCCTGGCAATATTTTTTCCCTTTGGTTGTGACATCTTCAGCAGACTTAAACCATCAGTCATCAGATTGTGTCCTACGCTGAAATTCCAAACTCATATTCTGAAACCGAAGGCAGCTTTTAAAATACTTAACGATGCCAAAATTGAAGACGATAGGACTGAAGAAAGCAAGCGGAGAAGGGCTTTGATGCCTACGCACGCACATATGTACAAAATCTAAGAGAAAAATAAACGCTGTACTTAAGCGCATCCTAAAACTGACCTCTGTCCTGTGGCGAGCTCAGAGCAGGCTCTTACGTCGACTGATAGATCATTAACGCGCTCAAGGCGTGCAACGCTCAAGCACGCCGCCACCAATAACAAATCTTGCACATCTCCCTTCTTTTGCAGGACCCGCTTTTAGCGAAGATTCGAAGGCTCTGGCAGGGTTTTCCTGCCTCACAATAACCATCGATCGCCCTTTCTCCCCAGCTGGTCTGCACAGCTTCCTGATGAGGTGGCCTTGCTGCAGAGTATAGCGCAAAGTCAAGTCGCAGGCAGACTAAAATACCTTTCTTCCTACACGTTTCCACCCCGGGGCTATTTTTTCCTCCAGACACACAATCTTAAGCAGCCTTCTGTTTCACTGATGATAGTTCAGGTACCTCAATGGCAGCTTGGACGGCAACGAGAAGGAAACACAATAAATACCCAAACAACCTCCGTCTCCGGAAGCCCATAAATTGCCATCCGCCAAGAGCTGGGTAAGTCTACTGGAAAATATCACTCTGGTTTTGCCTTATTATGTTCTTTCCCAGCTATTGGCCACTGTTAGAGACAGAGTGCTGTCCTAGACTGATGTTTGTCTGGATCTGGGACATTCTTAAATGTGCATGCTGTGCTCCTGCATGCTGGTCTACCCATCAACTGCAAGGGGGAAAGAGTTCAAATCCTCTCGCTTTTTCCTTTGGTATGAGGAATACGCTTTGGTCCCTCCATTCTTAACTGGTAGAGTTCCCAGGAGTTGTATTCTTCCTCCCAAATTCTGTTATAATTCACTATTTCTCAATGTTATTTTCATTAAAAACCAAGAAAAATACACTTAAAAGGGAACATCAAGTTGGGCTGTTGGGTATTATTCAATGATCAGAAAGAAGCGTGGAATATTTATTCATTTCAAAACCAGCCAGTTAACAAGGTATCGTGACAAGCCACCCAAACACCTTCAGAAATGACATACTTACCCTTTAGTTTGAGGTCCACGTTGTGTCGCAGCCAAGGATAAACACCATAGTTTGACATGTCTTCAGGAATAGGGTGATTATATATCCAGCCATCACAGGCAAATCGATAAAAGTTCTCACACGGATCTATGGATTGATTTATCTTGCTTAGGATGCCAGCAGCTGTAAAAAAGACACCACATAGATTTTGTGGAACACTTTTTCCTAAACAGAGAATTAAATGAGGCCACAGTCTAGAAATTGTGATTAACTTTCACCAGTCTCTGCAACGTGAAGCTGGCCTCACTTGCAAGCTAAGCCTTGCTGTTCTAGGACTGATGTGTGCCCTGATCTCTGCCATTTTTTAAAAAGCAGCAAGAGTACCACCCAGCTTCTCTAGCATCTAACAGTGGCTACATAAGAAGAAAAAAAAAAAGAAAAAAAGACAAAATATCTGCAGTGAATGTTCTTGAGTGCTGTGCAGCAATGACCACTGAACCTAGCACTACAGGAACATGAACTGCTGGAGCCAGACACCCAAAGACAGGCTCTCCATTGTTGCCATGATAATAGAATTAAGTGCCTGAGGAATTTAGTAGCAATACATATGAGCAGACTGTAATTAGCATTCCAGAAATTATGCACTGTTTACCTTCAGCTGAATAGCTGCACAGGAAAACAAATCAAGTTCAGATCTACCATTCACTGGAAAAGGTAATTGTATTATTTTCAGCTCCGTTTTGTGACTGCATCCCCCCAGTTGCTATTGTGGGTGAGACTGGTAAGAGAGAGATCAGTCTGACAAGCCAGAGACTTAATAGCTTTTGAGTATCTAATCATAGAACCACAGAATAGTTTGTGTTGGAAGGGACCTTTAAACATCATCTAGTCCAACCCCCCTGCCATGAGCAAGGACATTTTCAACCGGATCAGGTTGCTCAGAGCCCCGTCCAGCCTGACCGGGAATGTTTCCAGGGATGGGGCATTGACCACCTCTCTGGGAAACCTGGGCCAGGGTTTCACCACCCTCAGCATAAAAAAGTTCTTCCTTAGATCTAGTCTGAATCTGCCCTCTTTTAGTTTAAAACCATTACCCATTCCATGCATTATAGTGATGGTGGCATAAATCTACATAGGTCAAGTAACACAGAATATGTGGATACTGGACATTTTTTGGCTAAATGATCACGTGTTTTGAGGCTTATCCAAATAACTGATTAAAAATCCTAGCAGGAAATCTGATAATTTTACAGACTTTATGATACTATTTCTAGCATCCAGTAACTCTTCTTCATCCACTAAGAAATGTCATAGGAAGAGTCACTCTGTGTCTCGCCCGTAATTCTCTCTCTCACGTTAGAAACTCTCAAACCGACTACACTGAAGACATTTTGGTCCTTGGCAATTTTCTATCACTCCTGAAAAGCTGTTCAGCAAGGCAGGGCTCGGGTCTTGAGACATTACGTAGTCACTGCCCAGAGCACTCTGAACTAAAACAGTCAGGTCATTTAGGTGTCCAAGTCTGCCTTGGTGCAAAATCCCAGCTTCTGCTGAGCTTATAAAAAAATCCATGTTATTTTGTGTGCATGTGAGAAGAAGAAAGCCAATTCAGATTCAAACTTCTTCAGTGACTTTTTTTTTTGTTCTGAAGCTCAAAATGAAGCACCCACACCTTTTTTTTTTTTTTTTTTGGTTGGGGTTTTGGGGGTGGTGGTGTTTTGTTTAGTTGTCCCACCTTGCTTACATATTTGCAGTCATTCAAGAATCGGCTCCGGAGGGTGATGCCCAGGGCGGCCAGGAGCACTGTCAGTGCCACACAGGGCAGAAGCAGAATGGCAAGAAACGTCCTGGGAATGTTGAGATCTGCAAACTTCTTGCTTTACGGAGCCCCACAGAACTTGTCAGGATTTCAAACCACTAGCCAAACACCTCACAGTACCAGCTTAATATGGTTCAGAATGGAAATAAATACTCATATAAGTTCACACAATGTCCACTTTGTTTCCAGTAAAACAGCTCTAGGGGCAGATTTCCAGATGTGGGAACTATTGTTTGATCTTTGCTCTCGAGACGCTCAATGACAAAACTCTCATTGACGTAGCGCAAGCAAAACTCTGTCAGAACTGACCAGTGCAAAATGGGTGTCTCTCCAGTCCCACCAAGCCCGGTCCCTTTAGCTCACATTTAATATTAATAGATGTTCGAGCTCTACAAGGGTTACCACATGTATCTCTGCATGGGGAAAAGGGCCTGCCAATATGGAAGTAGCTGCAGATTTTGAGTTTTAGTCACCACATTACCATTGTGCAAGTCTGTGCAAGATCTGGCCCTAAAGCATCTCTGTGCCTTAACAAATCACTTGCTGGTTTTCTGACTACTGGGAAGGAAACAACAAAATACACCTGAAGGTCAAGTCACCCAACATTTTGTTTCTTATTAAAAAAATAAACAATCCCTATGGGAAACTTTGAGTTAACCTGGGTAGAGTTAAACCGATTTAAAACATGATTTTTAATGGTAGAAAATAAACAGATCTGCAGCAACTTAAACAGTGACTTTTAAAAAAGTTTGGGGTTTTTTTTTTCCCTCATTGTTAATGAAGCTTTCTGACTAAATTGTATCATGGAAAAAATTTAAGCAGTATAAATACCTCATTAACATACTATAATCACAATATAATAGAGAAGATAAAATTGTTGCTTACCAGCTTCAATACATTCTGAGGTCAAACAGTACCGTTGCTTCGGATGAAACTTTATAAGACCTTGGCTAACTGCAAAATGGAAAACCATAATGAGATCATTTGTAATGAATTTTGACCATTGCAGCCAAATGTTGCGTACTTGATCATTCAAATGTCAGCGCAAGCTCTGGCCCTAATGCATCTCTGCCGACATCGATTTAAACCAGTTAGAATGTATATTAAGTAAACACCGTGGCTCGTAACAAATAATTTTCCCCTCCTGTGCCTGCTTTCTCCTTCCTCTGCCTTTGCTCGTAGGCAGCACGGAGCAAGGGCTGTCTCAGAGGACGTTTGCGCAGCGCCGGGAGTGCCACCACTTCAGCCTGGCGGCGAGCATCACCGCGATCAATTAATCGTCGTTGCCATCATCCTCCAGAGATGCACCTTTCACAGCTGGCAACACAACGCGGAGGTACCCGGCCACCTTCGGCAGGGTTCCCCCAGCTCCTGCCCAGCCGCGGGGATGGCGCTGCGCTGCCGAACCCTGCGCCGGCACGACCCAGCGCCAACGGGACGCCTCCAGGGTCCCCTCGTTCCAGCCTGGAATAAACCAGGGAGCAACAGGCACAGGGAGAGACGTGCTTCATAAGGCACAGCGCAGTTTCTGTCCGAACCGGCTTCCAAAAGTATTGCAATTGTATTTGCTTCTAAAAACCTTGGCGGCAAAAACGAGGCGATTGTCAGTTAATGCTGCTCATCTTGTAAAAATGTGTATTACAGCTGCCACTGAAACTTAAGCATAGGAATTGCTAATTTCAGATACTGCTGTCAGGCAGCAAATATGCAGATAATTGATACTTGGGATGAGGATGGGAGAGTCCCAAGGGGTAGATGAAATAAGACTCAGTAGATGTGCTCAGTAGACATAAAGAAATGTCTCGTTATATCCATTATCTTAATAACTCAGGCCATGGCAAGAATACAAAAGAAAAAAAAAAACCCCCAAACAAAAAAACCCAACAATCGACTATATTAAGGTATCGTAGCTGTACCAGTACTGACAGTTATAAAGCAATTTCTCCTGTAGTTATCTATTATTCAAAAGGGATAGAAAAACGTGAAATGGTATTTCAGCACAGGAAAAATTTACTATAAAAACCCTAAAGCTATAATTGAATATAAAGCTGTTTCATCTCTTCCAACCTCATAGCTTTAATGACAATTAATGACAGAAATGGCTGGATTTCAATCAAATTTTCTTCAAAACTGAGAACGTGAAACTATTTCTGGACAACTTTACCAAAGCTTGCATTGACTCAGTGAAACACAACCCCTCAACAACCTTTGTAAATTAGCCAAGAACTACACAAGATTGAGGCATATAAAGATTGTAACTGAAATATTGAAGAACAGCAGAAAATAGAGAAGTGGAGGTCTCCAGAACATGATTTTGAGCCACATGAAATACAAATAATGGATAATCTGCCTATTAATTGAGTGTTGCACTCCTCCCAACTCACCTCTTTCCCCGCTTTAAAGTTAGCTTTTTCGAACCTGTCCAGGTCTTGAAAGTTTGCTAGATTTTTTTTCTTAACAAAGCAGAGAAAGGAGGGAAAATCCCAGACACCATTTATTTCTTTTGCACTTGATGGAAAATGAGGGAAAATGAAAAAGAATCAGTAAAGAATCTGAAATAGTCCTCGTAGTTTTGATACTTGTAAACAAAAGCACAATACCCTTTTGACTAGTTTTGTTCTGTTTACAACTTCATCATGAGAGCAAATGAAAAAAAGTCTTTGGCGGTAACATTTCCCTTTTAATTAACAGCTAATTTTGATGGGAAAACTTTTCTTGGTTTTGTTCTCTTACCTTGTTGTTGTTAGAGAACTAACCATGAGATTATTACCTATAGTTGTGGTTGTAACACTTAGTGTCCCAGCTTCTTCCTTTATAAGCCTGTTCCCAGATTCTTAAGCAAATACCCACTGTAATTAAGGTCCCCATAAAAATCCAAAAGGGGAAAAAGCCTACAAATATGCAGACGCAAATAATGCGGATGTTCCTCTAACCTGAGAAGTCCAAAGGGCTACCAAGTCAGGAGGAGAGGCTACCAAATCGAGGTTCAAAGCTGCCTGACTTCTTGCCCAAGGGAACTGGAGAGCCACCCGAGGTGATGCCAAGTGACTTCTCCGGTAGCTCCCCCCTGAAGCCACGGTGTGGCTACAGCCAGTACGGGCAAGTAACGGTAAATAAAAATATGTGATTCTCCCAGATTCCTCTTAGAGTTGTAGGGGCTCTGAGAAGAAGGAGGAGAAGGCTACGTTTCACTCCTCAGGCTGGAAAATTGAAGGGAAATTGTTTCAGGTCTACCAGAAACTGCAAGTTTTGCAGATTAAATGAAGACTAAAGAAAAAAGGTGATCTTGAGGTGCCTGAAATGTTTCACACAACCAGAAAGAACGGTCTCCTTTCCTACAGTTTAACAAAACTAAAAAAAGAGTTAAACTCAAACTTACAAACAAAACACAGTGTCACAATGAAACATAGAAACATTGCATTGACACAACATTAAACCAAAACAATTTAACTTTTTTCCCTCACTCTTTCAGTCAAAAACCTCAGACAATTTCCAAACAAATCCTAAAAACCTCTCGGTTGACCCAAGGCCAGCATTTTTATTTTCTTAGCAGTTATGCCAATGAAAATTTTGACACTGAATCCCTGGCTATGGAACAGGCCTCAGCACACTTAGAAAACCACCTCCAAGAATTAATGTATTTGCTTGAATTTTCACGTCTGGTCTATGGACAAAGCACTCCTATCTCCGACAAGCTATGGTGGTAAACATCTATTGCTTTTTACAAGCAATAAACTATCTAGTGCTAAAAAAAAGAAATAAGGTCTCTCCATTACTCCCTGGTGTTTGATATTGTATCCTTTAAGTGAAAAACATTATTTTTCATCTAGAAACAGTATTCTGCACTAACAAGTTGAAGATTAAATCCTGCTCACGTTTATAGAGTTTTGTTGAACTGAGGGGGATTACTCGCATACACAAAAGTTACTTGCCTGCAAATGTTTGTAGAATTTGCTCTAGGGCAGAAAAACACTAGCCGAGTACGAGCCTCGTGCTTTAAATATTCTATAGAAAGCCTGGCATAATTTTCTCTGTTGTGATTATAAACGAAGCAAACCTTTCAAACAAGATTGCAAGATCATAAATGATCGGAGGGAAGCAAAAGATATGCTTAGAGGCTAAGTTCCCTCCAGTCCAGGGAAATCTGTGTTGGTCTAAAGAAATGAAAAGTTGGGCTGAATCAGTCCAAAAGACGATCTGTCTCTGCAAGTTCCTACAGGGTACAGCACTGCTTTCTCTTCTCTGCTTGGTGGTTTTGGGTACATTTATATTTCTTCACATCATTTTATAGGTGTAGGCATATGCTTCCATGCGATATTCCAAAAAAACCAATCTACAGATGATTCCAAATCCCAGAGAGGTAAAACTAATTCCTCCTCTACTGTGTCCAGTTACAGCTTATAAATGTGATCAAAACATTTTAATTTCATCCCAGATGTGCTCTTTATTATTTTTGCAAAGATGACTTTGCAATTCATCGTAGAAGAACAGAAAGATCTAAAAAAATGTGCAAGCATATGCACTATTGAAGCCTTCTACAGGAATTCTAGTCAAGCCCTAAATGAAAACCAAATGAAGGAAAACCCAAAAGATTCCATAAAATGTGTGCACTACAGATTCATTTTTAGGAGACAGAAAATACCAGTCCACATCGGTGACAATCTGTGAGTTCGTAATCAGCATTAGTGACATGCATAATCTCACCCGTTTCTCCCCGTTCTGCAAAAGGACCCAGTTCTGGCTAGAACACGTTCAAATTAGTATCCAAATTCAAATCCAGCATTCAGAAAGTTACACGAGCTCACGTTGCACTTTCCAGCTCTAGCGCTCCCGCAACAAATCCCTTTCCTGGCACATTTCCATTTCGGGATAAATACAAAACAGGGGGGGAAAGAAGAAGAGATCGAGCTTTTCACCAAACCACGGGCAACAAACCACCCGGCAGACGGGCTGGGGAGGGTTGCGTTCGGGTGAGCCTCGACCTTTTCGCTTACCCAAGAAAAGCGCGGTGCCGAGCACGACGGTGCCGCTGACGAAGACGCCGAGGGCGATCCGCGTGGCTCTGCCGGCCGCTCTCCCGGCCTCGGGTACCGTCTCTCCTTCCATCGGGATGGCTTGGGACGGGCTCGCTCCGGCAGAAGTCCGGTTTTCCTCTGCTGCGGTGGTGTCAGTATTTCAACTCTTCATGAGCTGCACCCATGAGCTCTCCTCCTCCTCCTCACAACGCCAGGTTTCTGTCGTGAACCATTGCCTAGGCGCCTCCTGCTCTCTCCCTCTCCAAGGAAAACCGTGTGTAAAAGAGGAGCCGTCTCCCACGTTTTCCTCCGACCAGGAGGAGGAAAGGCGAGCGGTGACCGCTGTCTGCGCAGCCCTCGCTGCCGGTAGAGCCTCTCCGAGCCAAGAGCTCGGCAGTCCCCCTTATCAGGGGTTCCGAACACGAGGATTTCACAACGTTGCCGAACAGATGTTTTAGCTATCCAAACATATAGCCATAAACCCTTTACAATCAAAGCAGGGCTGCTGACAACTTTTACAAACACGAGACCGACGGAAGGTTTTCTTTTTTCTCCTTGCGCTTATTTAAAAAGACTAATTATCTGCTGACTAAAGTTTCCTCCTCTTAAACCATTCCTGCTGCATCATTTCGCTTCACCAGAAGAGATACCCACTCAGTGGACAAATCCCTTTTTAAAGCTTCCTAAGAGCTCTTAGAATATCATGTAGCATTTTATTTTGGGAATCTGGTATGTGACACTGCGTGCCAAAAATCACAGTCATGCAGCACAAAGCAATAATCAGCACAACCTACAGAATAGTGCTGCTTTAAAAGCTAGATTTTTTTTATTTTTTTTTTTTTTTTCCAGGCAAGGTATTTCAGTCCTTGCTGATATGCAATGAATCTTAGGAGATGATCCTATGCTTCTAAGTACTACTATGAGCTTAGTGGAAAGTATCTACTTGGGACTTCAAGTTGGTGGGGGATAAAAAAAAAAATTAGAAAGCCTTATTTATATGGATTTCTCAGTTTCTGGCTTAGACTTGATAATCCTCTCTCCAGGTGGCAAGGTTTCCCCATTCATCAAATAACAAAATTAATCACTTCAGGGTGAATTCTCTGAGCTGCCTGTGACATTCAGCTCTCCGAGGAGCTCTCGCTTGCTCCAGAGCTGGACTTTCATGCAAAACCTAGGGATGCAGGGAGAGGCAGTGCCATGCTCATGCTCCCAACAGAAGTTTATGTGTCTGAGTTACTTCTATGCGGATTTAGGAGTTCTCACGCCAGCCCCCACCCATCCTGATAAAAAACTGCGCAAGTAGAGAGAAGAAAGGCTTATGTCACAAGGTTAGGGCACATATATCACAACGGCAAAGTTATCGGTTTGGAGACTGAACTGTTTTCCCTGTGAGCACCTGCACACAAGTTGTCCTGGATGCCAGATGGGCATAAAGGGAAAACCTGCTCCATCCAGAAGAAGACTTAGGAGTTTGAAGGCCCAGAAACCCTCGCTCCTCAAGCCCCTCTACAGCCTGGCTGGGGTCCTCCAAACAAAATGCCTTCATTTCTTATTCCTGTCCCTCTTTGCCAGCAAGCTCCAAGGAGGGCATTCCCATCTCTGCTTGGCACGGAACAGGAAAAAAGCATTTGTTCCTTTTCACCCGCCTACTTTTCCCACATTTAACCCATGATTTTTAACATCCATCAGCTGAGGAAGAAGAGGGAGGAGATGTCACAGAACCAGGAGGCCCACGAATGTCCCAGACAAGTGTTCCCATTCACACACGAATGGCTCCACGGGTGTGAGCAGATCCCTGGTTATAAACAATCCCCAGCACAAGCCTGGCAGCAGCACAGGTTTGAGAAGGTATTCAGGCGACGTTGGCGCTATTGAGACTCCTAGTGATTTCTGATATGAGGACTCAAAGGGGCTGCCAAAAGGGCAGAAAACGCATGGACGTGCTGTGATCTCAACACTTAAATCAACTTTGCCCATGATCCAAATGCTGAGTAAGTCTCATAAGGACCCTTTGACAAGCATTTGGTATTGGTTGCCTGATGGTTTTCCTTCTATGTCAGCATTGAACCACCGACAATACAAATGCTGAACAGTTATTAGACCTATGCATACTGCCCATCAGCTTTTTATCCCACCAACCAACATTAAATGATCACATCTCTGCTCAAATTCCCCCCTACTTTATAACTTTAAAGGTTTGCTCCCCAGAGAAGTACTAGCATGTACTAAATATCACATTCTATTAGTGTTTCATTAACAGCATTTTGCCTTCAAGGTATGATCTCTTTCTAGGAAAACATCAGGCCAGAAACCAAGAACAGCTTTCAACAGTGCAAAGCAGCAACCAGTTGTTCGTCTTAGGAAAATTGTGAGAGGAAGTGGGAAAAGGGAAATAGGGAAGCTGATAAGAGGGAGAGGCTGGACAATTCAGTCCACCCTCCCGAACAGGCAAATAGAAGGTGAGGGCTATGGGAACATGCAGATATCCCAACAAGAACCAGCAAGCTCCAACTACAGGAGATCTCCTCTGGAGAGTCAGCCCCAAGCAGCACATGAACCTTATGGCAAGGAAATCACAGATCAGCTGCCAGCAACAGAATGACTTCTCCAAGTTTGGGAGAAGTTTGCAGGCTTATTTACACCGTGGCACCGTGTAAGTGTCCTTCCCTCTGGCTGTAGAGCCTGGTTGTAGTCAGTAACTCATCTTGGTCTCTCCAGCACATACAGAACTATGAAATTAGGGCTAAACCACAAACAGCTGCAGGCAACAGCTGCAGAGGTCCATCTCTGGCAGTGTTTGAAAAGGTGTGCGGAGTACATGTGAATCAGCTTCTGATACTGCTGATCAGTTACAGAAGTTTGTGGAATTTGATATGCGTTCCTGATGAGTGTGCTTGGATTTGGTTGCTTTGCTCACCATAACTCCAGTAGCTCTTTGGCAGGTATGAGATACAAGTTCCACGCTTACTGCTGGAACTGCTAACACCACTCCTGGCTATTATAGCCCAATAAGGCACTTAATGAGGCTGTGCAAAGACTCTGTTAAACATTCGTAAAACATTGAATAGACATCAGGGGAAAAAAAGTAATAATTAAATGCAACATGCTCTAAATCACTCTTCATTCACTCAGAATTGCCTCCACCCAAGATCTCAAACAATGGGATCGCTCTGGCCCTTATAACAATGCCAGGACCAGGCACAAACGTTTCCACCCAAACCCATATGCAAGAGCTGGCAAACCCGCTGGAACACGCTCCGGGCTGAACCCCAGCAAGAGTGCCCCAGCTTCTAGAAGTCTGTCTACATATGCAAGCGTGCGTGCATGCACATGAACGTACGCCCCCACATACAAGCACACGCGTGTTACCTTGCTCTTTCAAAGCAGACACAATTCTCACTTCCACCCGTTATGCCAGAGTCAGGCACGTGTGCTTGCTCAGAGCTAAGATCAATAGTACTATGTCAACTTCTCCCCACATAGCTTAGTTCAAGGAAGTTCCCATTTGCTTGAGGTTTGATTATTCAAAAGGCACACAAAACCCCACGTTTTGCCTAGTTTTTGCTGGCCACTGTCAAAACCAGAGTCACATAGGTGGCACTGGACGTCTGGAACAACAAAACCGCCTGAGGTCAGCACACGTTCAGCCCAAGCGTGCTGGAAGACCTGCCTGCAATGAGTCTGAGCCCTGCAAAACATTTTGTCGTTCTTGCATTTAGGAACTTTAAAGTGTATTAAAACAATTACTGATACTTTTAATGCAGACAGAAACTACAGTTCAGCATTAAGCGTAAGAACCAAAATAACGCATGTTAAACATACTAGGTGGCACCAATGCATTAGTTACAGAAGACGTTTCCTCAGAAGACGCTGTCCTCGTGGCGCACGTTAAAGACTTGCCTTATCGGGAGGCAACTGACAGGTTACCTTTAGAGGAATGAGTTAAGCTTGACAGAAGCAGCTCTCAATCAAAGCGTCACAGCTTTGATGACGTCCTGTCGAGCATTTTTAGCTCACGGTGAAAGGAAGAACGTAGCCGCTACCACACCATTGGAGGCAGAGCCACCAGGTATAGCTTGAGTAGCTTCAGCACAAAAGCAGAGGTATATGCTGGCTGCATTAAAAGGGATTAATTAGTGCGGGTCAGAGTAAAGGCCGTATTCCATTTCATTTCAAGTGTTCCACAACGGAGCCTTGAACTGTTTTTTCAAACTATGCAGCCGTCGTAGCCAGAACTGGCCAACTGGGCTTTCCGTACACACGACGTGCTTGAGAAACACCCAACACATTGCATTTGAAGACAGCTTGAATATTTGTCCTCAGATCTTGGAATCTTATAAGGGATATTCTCTTGGCTACAACACCTCCCCCCCCCCCAGTTTCCATGCTGCAGCCAACAGCAACCACACTCTGGCACAAATTCACATCTTTTATTCATGTGACAGATACAGCTGCAACTAAATAACCCCATTGTTTTCCACTGGTACAGCCACATCACGGAAGGTCTTGGTGCAGCTGGGAGAATGCGGGTCATTTATTAAGGGCCAATTCAGAGCCAACAGGCCTTGCAGGGCTCTGAACATTGCTGGTGGCAAGCTTTTCCACTAACTATAACCCCAACTGTGCAGAGAAGACCCTGCAAAGCAGAAAACTTTGTTCTCCAACACTTAATTCTCCAAATCAAATTTTTTTTTTCTTTTTTAATTCCAAGTAGGCTAAGCTATTCTCATTACTCCAAGAAAAACTTGTCCCTGCTGCTGGAAACATAGCATTCTCTGACCAAAAAGTGCTTGTATCTAACCCAAACAGCAACTCACTCTGAAAACCAACATCTGGGATCATTAAAGTTAAACCACTCAAGTTCACAAGCTTTTTTAGAGCCGCTTTTGAAACAGCACTTTAATGAAAAAATGCATATGTTCTCGAGCAGAAAGAAGAACTGCTTGAGGTCTTGTGGCAATTTTTCTTCAAGAAGCAGATTAAGTTATAGCTAAACAAAACACTGCTTCTAAAGGCCACATTCACACTATAACAAGAGTGTGTTTACATACAGCCATCACATGTGCACACTCCTCATCTGTCATCCCGCTG